TGGGTTCATTGTGTTTACAACCTCCGCTGACATCATGGACCATGAGTAAGGAAGACAAAAACACACGATAGGAAAAATCTTGGGATTCTTTTTCTAAGGGTGTAAAACATACTTACAAATAAAAATGCTCCAATGGAAAAAAAAAATGATATGATGGTATAACTAGAGAATCAACTAAAAAACTACTTGAAATAATTAACAACATAAGCAAAGTTGCAGGATATAAAATAAATTCACATAAATCATTGGCAATAGAAAGAGGAATTCCATTTAAAATAACTGAGACTCTACCTGATGAGACAAACCCAGGAACTATTATATACATACAATTACAAAATACTTTTCACACAAGTTAGATCTAAATAAGCAGAAACTTATCAGTTGCTCATGGGTAGGCAGAGCTAATATAATAAAAATGGCAACTCTACTTAAATTAATTTCTTATTGAGTGCCATACCAATCAAACTACTAAAAATTATTTTATAGAGATTAAAAAAATAGCAAAATTCATCTGGAAGAACAAAAGGTCCATAATATCCAGGGAATTAATGAAAAGAAATTCAAGATAAGGGGATCTCGCTGTACCAGATCTTAAATTGTATTATAAAGCAGCAATCATCAAAACTACTTGGTACTGTCTAAGAAATAGAGTGGTGGATCTGTGGAAGAGGTTGGATACACAAGACAAGGTAGTCAAAAACTATAGTAATCTACTGTGTGATAAACCCAAAGACTTCAACTCTGGGATAAGAACTCACTATTTCTCAGAAACTACTGGGAAAACTGGAAAAGAGTATGGCAGAAACTAGGCATAGACCAAAATCTTACTCCACATACCAAAATAATGTCAAAATGGGTACATGATTTAGACACAAAGGGTAATAACCATGAGCAAATTAGGAGAGCAACAAATAGTTTACGTGTTAGATCTACGGAGAAGGGAAGAATTTATGACCAAGCAAGTTATGGAGAAGATTATGAAATTCAAAATGGATTATTTTGATTACATTATAATAAAAAGGTCTGGCACAAAAAAAGCCAATGCAACCAAGATGAGAAGGGAAGCAGAAAGCTGGGGAAGAATTTTTACACCCAGTATCTCTGATAAAAGCCTAATTTCTAAATAGAGAACTAAGTCAAATTTATAAGAATACAAGTCATTCCCCAATTGATAAATGGTCAAAGGATATGAACAGGCAGTTTTCAGAGGGAGAAATTAAAGCTATTTATGGTCATATAAAAATGCTCTAAATTACTTTTGATTAGAGAAATGCAAATCAAAACAACGCTGAGGTAACACATCACACTTATCAAATTGGATAACCTAACAAAACAGGAAAATGATAAATGTTGGAGAATATGTGGAAAAATTGAACATTAATGCATTATTGGTGGAGTTGTATACTGATCCAACCATTCTGGAGAGCAATTTGGGACTATACCAAAAGTGCTGTAAAACTGTGCATACCCTTTGATCTAGCAATAGCATTACTTGGTCTGTATCCCAAAGAGATCATAAAAATGGGAAAGCAACCCACGTGTACAAAAATATTTATAAAAGCTTTTTTTGTGGTGGTCAAGAATTAGAAATTGAGGGGATGCCCATCAATTGGGGAATGTTTGAACAAGTTATGGTATTTCTATAAGAAATGTTGAGCAGGTAGATTTCAGAAAAACCTGGAAAAACTTACATGAACTGATGCTGAGTGAAGTGAGAAGAACCTGGAGAATATTGTACAAAGTAACAGCATTGTGCAACAACCAACTTTGATAGACTTAGCTCTCTGCAATACAATGATCTAAGACAATTCCAAAAAAGTCATGATGGAAAATGCTGTTCACATCCAGAGAAAGAACTATAAGTGGAATGCAGATCGAAGCATACTCTTTTCTCTTTTTCTTTTGTTCTCTTTTCTTTCTACTGATTTTTCCCTTTTGTTTTGATTCTTCTTTCACAATATGAGTAATATGCAAACATGTTTAACCTGATTGTGCATGTTTTACCTATATCATGTTGCTTTTTGTCTTGGGGAGGGGAAAGGAGAGGGAGAGAGGGAAAAAAATTGGAACTCCAGATCTTATAAAAGTGAATACTAAAAACTATCTTTACATGTAATTGGAAAAAAATAAAATACTATTAAGTGGAGAAAAAAATAAATCTAGAAAAATAGAGTAAAGGGAAAATCTAGTTACTTATCATGGGAACCAGGGAATTCTAATCATTAATAGGGAACTGAGCGGCATAAGCCACAAAGGATATATGAAATGGGTACTTCTTTGAAGAGAAGTAATAAAAAAGTGGTATACTCCTAGGAGAAGGTAGTGGTATACATTTAACTTTTAAAATAAATCATTTGGAAGAAGTTATACAGATTATAGTCTACAAAGTTAAACATGAAACTAGATTATTCTGGATAGTGCTGTGATAAGCCAAAAGAGAAACTAAAGGATAAGCTCTCAAAAACAAAATGCAATCCGAACTAAACAGAGTGACTTTAAAAATGAGACTGATTCAGACAGTGACATAAAAGATCAACCTCATTTTATAGTTACACCTTTTACAAGTCTTAAGATAGATTCCAGTCTAGAAGGAATCAATGTGGTACAGAAAAAAGAACATATGGTCTAGATTCAGAGGTTTTGAGTTCAGATATTCCTTCTAATGCTTACTACCCATGTGACCTTGGACAAGTTAGTTGATGTTCCTATTCTTCATAGACATATAACACTAGTATACTACTGAAACAAAACAAAACAAAACCAATCAATGCTAAGCATGATCAAGAAAATTATTTCAAATAATGATAATAAATAAATGACAAATATAGTACTTTAAGGAATACAAAATGTTTTACATGTTTTAGATAATTTGATCAAAAATAATGAACTTTTATTTTTCTACATTACAATGTAATACATCTTCCAGCTCCAATGATTGTACTTAATAAATGCTCTATGCTCTGATACCTTTATCAGATAAAAAGGTATACTCAAACTTTTTTGATTGAGTTACAAAATAAATTAATCAATCATGGTACAAATTAAGTTGACCAAGTTCTTATTAAAAGTGGAAGTATTATTATTAGCCATTGGGTAAAATCAGATGACACTACACAGGAAATCATGGTGCAAATTAAGTTGACCAAGTTCTTATTAAAGGTGGAAGTATTATTATTAGCCATTGGGTAAAATCAGATGACACTACACAGGAAGTACATTTGGATTGGTTAAAAGAATCAGACATGCCTTCAGGTCTATGTATATTACAGAAGGGATTCCAGAAGAAAGTAGCCAAGTAGGAGTGCTTTGAGAACCCTTACACATGTGCTAGAAAGCAGAAAATGGAGTACCATGCTTCTCTTTTGTCCATTAACTATGTCATTGGAGATGCTGAGCCATTAACAATAACGTATCTGACTGAAAGATCAAAAGGACAAACATACCAAAGATATATCAAAGACATACCAAACAAAAACAGCTTCAAGGAACATGACCTCTTTCTAGGTGGAGAATTATGGATTGTAAATCCACTTATGGATTTTACAAAGGCACTGACTTCCGCTTGGAGCCCATCAAGGGAGTTATGCCTCAAGGGAACTTTATGAGGATTCTGTAAAGGGAGGAAGTGTTTAACGTTTGGTCAAACCAAATTAATCCTTTCTAAATTTCTCCCCAAGTACCTTCTCTGTGAAAGGGGACAGCGTACCCCTAATTTAGGGGAGGAGGGCAATGTTTCATAACATCTATTCTTGCTATCCCTTTGCAGTAATAACACCTTATAAAAACAAATTGATGTCAACTAATTGGTTGATACTGGAGAGATGTTAACTGTTTAATTAACATGGGGAGCACACAAGATGGTATCTCATGAGCAACAATACTAATATCCCTCAAGCCCAATCTCTTAGAATTATACCTAGAATCCCAATGGAAAAAGTAGTACTCTCTTTCAGGGGACCCTACCCACCCGTGAAATTGAGAGTTGAGGCATTAGCAAAGAGTGGGTACTGTAATACAAGGACATGTTGTTTCTGCACCTGAAACAGGAGGAAAGATTAGTGTTGAACTAATAAATCTTCAATGACAGACATAGCCTAGATATGCAAGTCAAAATGGGCTTAGATGAATCTGTGAATTCATCATGTGTTGTCAAGGAACCCAGAAGTGTTTGAACTATGTTTCCAGGCTCTGTAGTTTAATATAGAAACTATTTCTATTTGTAAAACATTCTTTCCTTGGTAGTGCTGTCTTAAATGAATAGCTAGGTTGGTTATATTGACCAACTGTTTTACTCATGATGGAATTTCTTGGGTAATGTAAACATTCATAAAGTATGGTATTTTGGTCAAACACAGAACATATCAGTTCATTAAAGTATTTTATGAGCACAAATTTAATTAGTCATGTAAACTTGTTTGAATTATGATTTATAAGACACCTGACCATGCTAAAAGAAGTTTGACTGAAGATGGCTGGAAAAAGGAAACATACCAGAAACATCACATATGGGTACAGAATTATGCATTATTGCACCAGTTCAAGAGATGTGGATGCAATTTGTGGAAATGTTTTTCTTAAGTACTGTAAAGTACCGGAACTTGGAAATGTCTTATTTATATCAATATTATTTTGAATTAGTTATTTTTAAAAATGCTAATAAGATTAAGAGCTGACTTTACATACCAATTTAAGATCTGTGAATTGCTTTACACATATTATGTCATTTAGAACTCACAGCAACCCTGAAAAGTACTTACTATTATTACACCATTTTACAGATGATTTCCTGTTACTTAGCTAGTAAGTTTTCAAGACAGAATTTGAACTCAGGTTTGTGTGATTCTAAGTCCAACATTCTGACCACTACAACCATCTACTCTGTTGATTTATGTGCGAGTGTGTGTGTGTCTCTGTATGTGTGTATGTTGGTGGGTATGAGTGTGTCTCTGTATGCTAATACACACTCAAAAAATTCACTGGATTTGTTGCTTTTCTTACAGTGACATGAAGAAGGTTGGTGTCACTGTTGTTGGGCCACAGAAGAAGATCATCAGTAGTATTAAAGCTCTAGAAACACATACCAAGAATGGTCCTGTTCCTGTATAGAACAGCAAATTGATGAGACCATGACAAAACTTCCAAAGGTGCAGTGACATTTGGAGTTAGCATATTTCAGCATCGAGAATATTGTTGCAAGTTTCATGCCCACAAAGATGCTCAAATATGAGTAAAAAATGCCTTAAAATCGGAGTGATAAACTTTTTTTTATCATTTGATGGATGGTTGGATGGATGTTTGTTTTTTTCCCTTATAGTAAATGAGTGATTACATTCAGAAAAATTCATTTAAGTCCTTCAGAATAAAATTGTGAATGAGGAGCCATTGACCATAAACTGAGTACCATAAAAGATAAACAGGTGAAAATCATAGTGGACACATGGGCTGTGTTTGATAACAGCAGCCCAAATTGAAGAAAAAAGACATAATAATTTTATACACAAAGGAGATCTGTAACAGGTATGTTGTTTCCTTAAAAACAAGCAAAATAGAGGACTTTATACCTCAACCTGATCATATTGACTATCTTGCCATTTTAATAATATTCTCCTTTATCTGTTAAAAAACTACAGAAATAAAGTTTATAGTGGTTTTAAGTAATAGTTTACAAATGTTTTCCTGGCCTTATGTTAGATTCCTGAAGTATGTTCATGGAAAAAAAGTGTCTTAATTTTTAGAAAAAAAGTATTTATTTTCTTTTGCATTTTTATTGTTCTGTATTTATGTTTTGATGTTTAAATTTGGAATTGTTACTACCAGGTGCCAAATGCTTCCTCAAAAAGTCAGTATTAGGGAATATAATTAATGAGGCAAATAGTACCATGAGTTAGTTTCTAAATTTATGGAACATCCACTCCTCTACTTTATGAATATGTATATGTCTTTATCTAAGAAGGAAAAATAAAAACTTTTCCAATTCATGCATTAAAATAAGCCATGAGAGTTCAACCATTTTGTCTCTCGAATTTATTAATGAGATATGTTAAGCTACTGGCTTAGTGTATTATATTGACTTATAATTATATATATTTCCTACTAAATAACACTGACCTATGACTCTGTTAATTGGTAAAGCTACTATCCCTGACTCCATATTCTCTGGGTAGACATTGGCAATGTTGGAATGAACTGGAATTAAATTGCAAATTGTGCAGATAAGTCTATCTGCAAATTATAACACAATGCCTTTATGTCCATAAATAGACCATTTCACAATGATAATGACTTACAACCTTTCTTCCCAAATAATAAACCTTTCCCATATGCCAAATTAGGGCAACAAACCAATGGGCTAAAGTGTTAGCCAAAAATGTTCCAACTTTGGAAAGGTCATTACTTTCACAGCTTTAGTTTATAAGTCTGTTCGCATTAAGTGATAGTAATTAAGGAAATATACTTCACTTTTTGCTTTTATGTCAAAGAATTCATCACTGTTGACATCACTGTGAAATATTATTACAGTAAAGGTTCTTCCACTATATAGCCCTATGGTTATGTTGATAAGCATAAGCAAGGTCCACATTAAATACCAAGCTTGAATGAAGCTTTTTAAAAATGATTTTAGTAAACCAACATCTAAGTCTCTCTCTTCTATCTATCCAATCGCTCAAAATCCATAGAGAATTAAGCATAAACACTCTCTGTAGGAGTTAAGATTTGCAACAAAAGTTGACTATCAACATGCAAAGAAGTATTTGAGAACATGTACCTGGTAAAAAACTAATACTTCACCCTGAAAGATGACATCATTATCTATGATTATTTAAATTACTTTAAACTTGAAATATTAAACATGTGAAAGGTAAAGGAAGCACTTACTCCACAATAAATAAAATGCATAGAAACACCCATGCCCCTTCAACAACAACAACAACAAACAACAACAACAACAACAATGTTGTCTTTTGGTGCAATGTCATACAGAATGGAAATTTACTAATGTCATACAAGAAACAATCCTAGATCAAAATTCACAAGTGCTGACTGGTGTTACCTTTGGTGTGGGCTGGGTCATTTTACCACTACTTCAGCTTTGAGATTAATATTCAAATTCTGTCAATATTGCTTGTAATTAAATTTATTAGAATGCTTTATTAGATGGAAGAGAGCATGTAACAATTGCTCCTCACCATCCCTTGAAAATATTAAGTTAAAATAATTATCTTAAATCTTCTTTAACGTTATTAGGAAGAGGAACAATATGTTTCCTTCTTAGGTATTTTGAAAGAGGAAGAAAGCAGTTTCTATGATCAGGTAATTGCTTGAGTTCTAAACCTGTACCCAACCTCATATTCTCTAACTCACATTTCCTTTCCTAGAAATTGTCATGGGCATATTTTTTTAAAAAAATGAATCATTTCATTGAATCTCAGAAAATTGGAGTTTGGTTGCTTAATTTCATTTATGTGGGCTTTGGTTTCCAATTGCAAGTAGGAATTGTTTACAAAATATCTTCCTCTTCTTTTCTACATTTTATTTGTAAGTGACCTCTTATGAAATTACTCTACACAATTCTTTCCTGTACATATGTAAACATACCAGTGTACGATTCTTAACTGTGGAATAGAGGTACTAGAATGCTTGTGGCCATCTTCTTGTACACAACTGCATTGATTTCCAGGAAACACAAAATGAAAAATCCATTCATAAAGTTATATAACATATTATATGTTTATTATATCTTAAATATAATTTACATATATTATTTATTTCTGTTAACATACCTAGTTTGTGCTGTATTTAGCATTCAGTAAACAATGTATAAATGTGTTTTGATTGGCAATATGTATTTACTTTAACTTGTATTTTCAAAGCATTACTCAATTAGTTTTATGTTGTGCAGCTGTAGATGGCCTCTTACTAATGTAAAATGATTTGTAGTGGAAACATTTATATTTTTATAATAAACATAATGAAAGTATTTTTTAAACATTGTAATACAGAACTGATTCCTTTCATGATCTAATTTAAGATATGTGTGGCTGTGTATATACATACACATGTATATGTGTGTGTGTATGTATGTATGTATGTATGGTTAGTTAGTTAGTAGAAGATTCCCAGGCATTAGAGTGTATAAGCAGAGTTGTCTTGCCTGGACTTGGGATGGGTTTGTAAATACATTCATATATACACATATGTGCATAAAACATGTTTGTGTGTGCAGATATGTACATGTACACATGTGCACATACATATATCTGTGCATGAGATCAAAATCTGCCCTCAGACACTTACTAGCTGTGCGACCCTGGATGAGTTGCTTAACCCTGTTTGCCTCAATTTCCTCAACTGTAAAATGAGCTAGAGAAGGAAATGCAAGCCATTCCAGTATCTTTGTCTAGAAAACATCAAATGGGGGTCATGAAGAGTCAGACACAACTGAACAACAATAAATACCTTAGAATTCAATAACCTACTTTTCTTGAAAATCTCAACCTTATTACCTAATTGTGAAAAGAATTGGCATGCAAAGAGCTAAAGTACGGACTAGTAGTACTTTGCAACACTGGGCACATAATCAGATATCCATATTCATCTGGACCACATAAATTTAATAACATGGTTAAATGCATTCTGCTTTAGTTATAGGGACTAATTGATCCTGATAGCATCACACCTGACTCTACAAAGGTATCTATGATCATGTGATTAGGTTTTCTTGGCCTATAAATTTATGTGTCTGAGATAGGTAAAACATTTTAATATTAAAAATGTCACAAAAGCTACATCTGACTCACAAGCCACATATTGGATGATCAAGAACTGATATGAGAGTGTCTATTACATGCTAGAAGAACTAATAGGATGCCTCCAGTAATCATAAGTGACATGGTCCTGACACTTCTTAATTAATTCCAAAATAGCATATATCTTCTTCTATAAATTAGCATATTAATAATGCACTTAAATTTCAAATTGTGAAATCTGATTATTTTAAAGAAGAAAAATTGTATTCTGTGTATATACACACACACATATTTACACACATACACATATGTTCTGTTTAATGCTTTATGTTGCTATTGATCTCAATCAGTATGTAATTTACAAGAATAACCAACTTTGAATTCCAAGTGATACTTTACATGCAAGCATCTATGGAAAGGTTCACATTTATTCCACATGTATGTCATTAATACATCACCTTTCTAGGAGAAGGAAGGAAGAAAGGAAGGAAGGAAAGAGGAAAGAGGAAGAGTGAAACATTTATTAAACTCTCATTATATACTACAAAAAGCAAAGATAGTCTCTGCCTTTAAGGAGTTTATATTTTAAGTAAATGTAGGAAAACAAGACATTGGGAAGTAGTGACCAGGGAGGCACACTCTAGTCTGAAAAGTTACAGTAATTGTCACTTGGACCAAAAGGAGAGAAGTTTGTTTCACCCAGTTCAAGAACTACAGAGTAAATATGATCAAGGTTCATATTTCTAGAACTGGAGATAAGGATAGGTAGGAGTTAGTGAGGGGATGTGGCAGAATAAAAGAGTAGTAGAGGTGTTGGCCTAAGGAAAGGGAAAGAAGAGACAGTCATCAATCACCAGCGTTTACCCCAGGGAATGTTCTATGGTGTTAGTATGGAAGATGTTGGTGAGGAGGCAGTGGAGGAAAGATCAGAAAGGAGAGATGAACTTCCAGTCAGCTATAAAATTTGGAATGTTGATTGTAATACTGGAATTGGAACTCTCATTTACTTGTATAATAACGAAATTTCTAATTAATGTTAAATTATAGGAAAGGTGGAACAAACTTCAATTTATGTTGTAAGTAAAATAGCCCTTTAGTAGTAATATCCACATTTATCTTTACAGTTGGCTAGTTTTAGTATCATTTGCCAAATGTTATCTTTAATGATGAGAGGAAGTTTGCTTTGGCAAATAAAAGGCCATTCTCAGAGTCAAGAAGATCCAAATTCAGATCCAGATCTCTGCCCCATATAAGCTGTGTGATTCTGAGGAGGTCACTTAATTTTTAAGTATTACAGGCAATTCTCTAATATAATAAGTTGTGAGAAGCTCAGTTACTGATCAGGACTAGTAGAAGAAA